TGCTGTGGCTGCTGCTGCAGCTCCCGGCAGCAAAACACCATGGCCCTAAAGGACGAACCAAGTCCAAAATGTACGTTTTCCGGGGCCGAAACGTCCCTTCTGAAATCCTACAAAAAGCTTGCCGCTGCTACTGCCACGGCCGCTGCTCTGGCTGCTGCCGCTGCTCTGGCTGCTGCCGCAGCTCCCGGCAGCAAAACACCATGGCCCTAAAGGACGGACCGAGTCCAAAATGTGTATTTCTTATTGCTACTGCTGCTGTTGGAGTCACTACTGCCGCTGCTACTGCCGCGGCTGCTGCTCTGGATGCTGCTGCAGCTCCCGGCAGCAAAACACCATGGTCCTAAAGGACGAACCGCTTGCCATTCTTAGAGATTACAAGGTGGTGCCCCCCCAGTTATAGCTTGCTTTAAGAACCATAGTAACTAGATGTATCTACCATAAACATCCATAAACACAAATAAGCTGTTGGTGCTGAAATTATCATTTTTTCCCTTTTTAAGACTGCTCTGGCTGCTGCCGCAGCTCCCGGCAGCAAAATACAATGGCCCTAAAGGACGAACCGAGTCCAAAATGTGCGTTTCTTACTGCTACTGCTGCTCTTGGAGTCACTGCTGCCGCTGCTACTGCCACGGCCGCTGCTGCAGCTCCCGGCAGCAAAACACCATGGTCCTGCGGTCGGAACGTCCCTTCACAAAAAGCTTGCTGCTGGTGCGGAAAGTATCATTTTTTTACAATTTTATTATTTTTTACCTTACTGCTACTGCTGCTGCTGGACTCACATGCTGCCGCTGCTACTGCCACGGCCTCTGCTCTGGCTGCTGCTGCAGCTCCCGGCAGCAAAACACCATGGCCCTAAAGGACGAACCGAGTCCAAAATATACGTTTCCCGGGGCCGGAACGTCCCTTCTGAAATCCTACAAAAAGCTTGCCGCTGCTACTGCCACGGCCGCTGCTCTGGCTGCTGCCGCAGCTCCCGGCAGCAAAAAACTATGGCCCTAAAGGACGAACCGAGTCCAAAATATACGTTTCCCGGGGCTGGAACGTCCCTTCTGAAATCCTACAAAAAGCTTGCCGCTGCTACTGCCACGGCCGCTGCTCTGGCTGCTGCCGCAGCTCCCGGCAGCAAAACACCATGGCCCTAAAGGACGAACCGAGTCCAAAATATATGTTTCCCGGGGCCGGAACGTCCCTTCTGAAATCCTACAAAAAGCTTGCTGTTGGTGCGGAAATTTTACTGTATCATTTTCCCGCTTTTTAAGAGCCGCTGCCACTGGCCACGGCCGCTGCTCTGGCTGCTGCCGCAGCTCCCGGCAGCAAAACACCACGGCTGCTGCTCTGGCTGCTGCTGCAGCTCCCGGCAGCAAAACACCATGGCCCTAAAGGACGAACCGAGTCCAAAATGTACGTTTCCCGGGGCCGGAACGTCCCTTCTGAAATCCTACAAAGAGCGTGCTGCTGGTGCGGAAAGTTATTATAATCAGTTTTTTACCTTACTGCTACTGCGGCTGCTGGACTCACTGCTGCCGCTGCTACTGCCACCACCGCTGCTGTGGCTGCTGCTGCAGCTCCCGGCAGCAAAACACCATGGCCCTAAAGGACGAACCAAGTCCAAAATGTACGTTTCCCGGGGCCGAAACGTCCCTTCTGAAATCCTACAGAAAGCTTGCTGTTGGTGCGGAAATTACTGTATCACATTTCCCGCTTTTTAAGAGCCGCTGCCACTGGCCACGGCCGCTGCTCTGGCTGCTGCCGCAGCTCCCGGCAGCAAAAACCACGGCTGCTGCTCTGGCTGCTGCTGCAGCTCCCGGCAGCAAAACACCATGGCCCTAAAGGACGAACCGAGTCCAAAATATACGTCCTGCGGTCGGAACGTCCCTTCTGAAATCCTACAAAGAGCTGCTGGTGCGGAAAGTTATTATCAGTTTTTTACCTTACTGCTACTGCGGCTCCTAAACTCACTGCTGCCGCTGCTACTGCCACCACCGCTGCTGTGGCTGCTGCTGCAGCTCCCGGCAGCAAAACACCATGGCCCTAAAGGACGAACCAAGTCCAAAATGTACGTTTTCCGGGGCCGAAACGTCCCTTCTGAAATCCTACAGAAAGCTTGCCGCTGCTACTGCCAGGATTCCGGGGCCGAAAAGGACGGAACGACCTCCAAAAACATGCTGCCCCGGGGCTTGACGTCCCTTCTGGATTCTGGTAAAAACAAAGCGATTGCAGCCCTCGCCACACCGAAACACCATGCTACTGAAGGACGGAACGGGCGGTTGCGAAACAGCAAAACACCATGGCCCTGAAGGACGGAACGACCTCCAAAAACATGCTGTCCCGGGGCTTGACGTCCCTTCTGGATTCTGGTAAAAACAAAGCGAGTTCAGCTGCTGGGTCTGCTGCTGCTGCTGGAGCTGGTGCCTGACGTTGCCTTCTGAACCAACAAGAAACCAGCTCCAAAGTGCAGCTCCCATGCCCTCAAAGCAGCTCCACAACAAAGTCCTAGCGGGCGGTTGCGAAACAGCAAAACACCATGGCCCTAAAGGACGGAACGACCCCCAAAAACATGCTGTCCCGGGGCTTGACGTCCCTTCTGAAGCGAGTTCAGCTGCTGGGCCTGCTGCTGCTGCTGCTGGAGCTGGTGCCTAACGTTGCCTTCTGAACCAACAAGAAACCAGCTCCAAAGTGTAGCTCCCATGCCCTCAAAGCAGCTCCACAACAAAGTCCTAGCGGGCGGTTGCGAAACAGCAAAACACCATGGCCCTGAAGGACGGAACGACCTCCAAAAAATGCTGTCGCGGGGCTTGACGTCCCTTCTGGATTCTGGTAAAAACAAAGTGTGATTGCAGCTGCTGGGCCTGCTGCTTGCAGCTGCTGGGCCTGCTGCTGCTGCTGGTGGTGCTGCTGCTGCTGCTGGTGGTGCCTAACTGTGCCTTCTGAACCAACAAGAAACCAGCTCCAAAGTGCAGCTCCCATGCCCTCAAAGCAGCTCCACAACAAAGTCCTAGCGGGCGGTCGCGAAACAGCAAAACACCATGGCCCTGAAGGACGGAACGACCTCCAAAAACATGCTGCCCCGGGGCTTGACGTCCCTTCTAGATTCTGGTAAAAACAGCGATTGCAGCCCTCGCCACACCGAAACACCATGCTACTGAAGGACGGAACGGCGATTGCAGCTGCTGGGACTGCTGCTGCTGCTCCTGCTGCTGCTGCCGGTCGTGTTGCTAGAGGTGGTGCTGCAAGCCCCCAAAACGCACCCTTCGCCACACCGAAACACCATGCTACTGAAGGACGGAACGACCTCAAAAAACATGCTGCCCCGGGGCTTGACGTCCCTTCTGGATTCTGGTAAAAACAAAGCGATTGCAGCTGCTGAGCCTGCCTCCTGCTGCTGCTGCTGCTGCTGCCGCTGCTGCTGCCGCTGCTGCTACCGCTGCTGCTGCCGCTGCTGCTGCCGCTGCTGCTGCCGCTGCTCTTGCTGCTAGTGCGGCTAAACTGCTGCTGCTGCTGGAGCTGGTGCCTAACGTTGCCTTCTGAACCAACAAGAAACCAGCTCCAAAGTGCAGCTCCCATGCCCTCAAAGCAGCTCCACAACAAAGTCCTAGCGGGCGGTCGCGAAACAGCAAAACACCATGGCCCTGAAGGACGGAACGACCTCCAAAAAATGCTGTCCCGGGGCTTGACGTCCCTTCTGGATTCTGGTAAAAACAAAGTGTGATTGCAGCTGCTGGGCCTGCTGCTTGCAGCTGCTGGGCCTGCTGCTGCTGCTGCTGGTGGTGGTGCTGCTGCTGGTGCCTAACGGTGCCTTCTGAACCAACAAGAAACCAGCTCCAAAGTGCAGCTCCCATGCCCTCAAAGCAGCTCCACAACAAAGTCCTAGCGGGCGGTCGCGAAACAGCAAAACACCATGGCCCTGAAGGACGGAACGACCTCCAAAAAATGCTGTCCCGGGGCTTGACGTCCCTTCTGGATTCTGGTAAAAACAAAGCGATTGCAGCCCTCGCCACACCGAAACACCATGCTACTGAAGGACGGAACGGCGATTGCAGCTGCTGGGACTGCTGCTGCTGCTCCTGCTGCTGCTGCCGGTCGTGTTGCTAGAGGTGGTGCTGCAAGCCCCCAAAACGCACCCTTCGCCACACCGAAACACCATGCTACTGAAGGACGGAACAACCTCAAAAAACATGCTGCCCCGGGGCTTGACGTCTCTTCTGGATTCTGGTAAAAACAAAGCGATTGCAGCTGCTGAGCCTGCCTGCTGCTGCTGCTGCTGCCGCCGCCGCCGCCGCTGCTGCTGCCGCCGCCGCTGCCGCCGAGCCTGCCTGCCTGCCTGCCGAGCCTGCCTGCCTGCCTGCCTGCCTGCCTGCCTGCCGAGCCTGCCTGCCTGCCTGCCTGCCTGCCGAGCCTGCCTGCCTGCCTGCCTGCCTGCCTGCCGGCCGGCTGCTGCTGCTGCTGCTCCTGCTGCCGCTGCTGCTGCTGCCGCTGCTCTTGCTGCTAGTGCGGCTAAACTTGCTTGTCTTTGCTTGTCTTATTCCCTGGCGCGCTCCCCCTTGCGTCTGCCGGGGTCGGCGGATAATTCGTTATAACTTTTAACTTCCTACAACATGGAGTTGAGGGTTGAAACTTCAAACATTCATCCTTTTCAATCCTTTTCAGCGTTCAATGTCACTCTCATTGCACTTAGGGCTCGTCTCAAGCCATGCCACCGTACCTTGGACTTTGGAATCTTTGGAGGTGGAACCATTGGATCAGGGGCACAGGGGTCATGGCATATCAGTTGTGTTCACTGCGCCAGCGATGAGCTATTGATCAGCTATTGTTCTCGTGTCGCTTCCCTTTGAACTCTGCAAGTGACTGCATCTTAAAATATCTTAAAGCATAACTTCTTAGTGACGCAGTATGGCATAGCTATTGAATTGATTGCATTTGGGAAGTCCAGATTTTATTCGTGGGTCATTTCCTTTCTCCTTGGAGCATTTGGAGCGCTGGGCGTTTTGCCATGGACTCAGGTGAATATCAAAGGCAGCCCGGATCGCTTCAACTTCTACTGCCCAATCCATGACGCTGCCTACTTGGGGCAGAAAGATGCAGTGCTCCAATGGCGAATTTTTTTCGGAGATCTTCGTCATCTGCAGAGATTTATAGCAACATTTAAGCAATCGTATCAGTATCATCGTATCTAATATTAACCAGAGACATCCATAGACCTTCAATTTTGAGTTATTGATTACAGCAGTCAACACCGTCACTTTAGGTTGGCCAACATAGGGTACAGCAAGTGTAATCATGTTTCCACAATGGACAGCCTGTTCGATTGGGTGCAGAAATTGTGCGCGGCAGATATCCTTCTCGATTCACTCGGCAACTTGGTATGGGCCTGTCCATTGAGGTGCTATGGCTGCTTCGACACAAAGCTCAAGCTGATGCGCAGAACAAGGCAAGCTTTGCAAATTGTCGGAGGGGTTGTAAGGTTGTATACTTGCGGCATTCCGGGAGAGCAACATTTGCTTCGTTTCTCCAATCAATTGTTTTGCTTTGACCAGTCCTGGGCACATTTCTGCGGCTTCATTCCTTTATGCAAAGTTTGGCTGGTTTGTTTTGTGGCTATGATGAGACTGACATTGGAGACCATATGACGATATGGCTGACATCAGACATGGTGGTGCCCTCCGAGTTGCCGGTTGTGGTGATGAAGTGATTCAAAATTGCCACGAGGATGGATGCACACCCTTGCACTTCATCGCACTCATCGGAGGCCGCCATTTGACAAATAGAGTAATTAGACTGGCTGAAGTGGTTTTGGATGACTTTCTTTGACTCCCCTTCAAAGTCACTGAGCTCGAAAGCTCCAATGATTTCAAGATAGTTTAACACAACATGCATTTGTCAGCAGTCATGGTGTGCACCAATCCAAGGTAATTCCATCATTCCCAAGCAAATCTGGTTTCAGTTTCTGGCTTGTGGCCACTGGAGTCACTAGTGTCACAAGGCCGTGGGAGTTTGATGGATTCCGATGTTCAAGAAGTGGTCACGGAATTGCTGGAGCACAAAGCCAATTTGGACGTGCGGGTCTAAGCTTGGGGCTATTTGGGGCCATCTAACTGAGGGTTCTGATGGGTTGCGTAACAGTTATGATCAGTTATGTATGTACCGTTTATAGGACATCGATATTACAATATATATATTATATAAATATATATAAATATATATATATATATAAATATATATATATATAAATATGTATATATATATATATGACATAAAAAATCTAGCAACCTGCAGGACCGAACCGCCAACCGCCGGGAACTGTTATCAATGAGATTCAGGTCCAAGTGTTGGCCAAGTAGGCGCCACAAATCCAAGCGCCTATATCTATGGACACACTGATGATATTTATACAAGCCATAGAACATGAACAATTACATATGTAGAAGTCAGAAGAAGCACATATATCATCAATATATACGTAATAATATATTAATAACTAATATATACCAAAAATATATATCATATATCATACACATCATATTCCTGCGCTGAAGAGGGGAAGCTTGTTGGGACGTCCAGGCGCGGTCCTTCTCGGCTAAGTCACCGTATCCATGTGTGTGGATGCCCAGGGGCCGGATGGGGCCGGCAATGCCTTAATTCAGAAAGATGCTTTGAACAACTTTGAATGTTTTGAGAATTCTCTTGAGAAAGACTTGAAAACTTGGCGATGGCTTCTTTTGCTTCGGAAAATGTGCAGAGCAAACTTGTGTAATTACAATAGTTCTACTAACCACCTAGACACATTATATATATCTTGCAGATTCTTGCAGTATTTTGTCCTTGAATTGGTCATATCGCACTCGCAACTATCCAATGGTGTTGCTTCACAGCAACTGTTCCACTGGCAAGTTTTTGAGGATCCGTTCCTTCAGCAGAAGATTCCTTTGGAGATTGCCGCAGAGACTCAGTACTTGGCTGCAGAAGGTGGCTGCATTCAAGAGGCCAAAAGTGTGATTGTCGACATCATAGGCAACAACAACAACAGCAGCAAAACAAGTAACAATCTCAAGTACAATGGGCTGATCATCTCAGAACAGAAAGAGAACAAAGGAACTTTTCTTGTCGAGGTTGTTCTTCTTAAGCTTCGTGCGGACAGTCCACGTGTTCAACTCTACACAAGCCGTGAGTGTTTTCGTTTTGATATGTTTTGATTATTTCCACACAATAATATATAGTAATACTGATTAATACTGTATATTTTGTTGGATTTTTGTTGTTTGGCGCAGTGTACACCGAGGTATCCCAAGGATTTGATGTATCTGATGGCAGCTTCTTACCAGCCGCTCGGGTCACTGGGGCATACTGGGGCATACTGGGGCCACTGGGGGCTGGGAGATGCTCCGCTCGTGTCGCTCCGTCAATCCGCAGTGTCCAAGGTCAACGAGACTGGACGTTCCGCGAGCCTTTGCGGATATACGACTGCTGTCAAACTGTTCCTTGTCACATTTGCCAGTTGCGATTATCGTGGGAGATATAGTTGGAGATGTACAGTAGTTGGAGATATACTTCATGTTGGATCAACTGCTGGAATGTCACCAAACATATAGTATAATTAGTTGGGAGAAGTGAGTGTGAAAAATTACAATTCATATTGATATGATATGAGCATCATAGAGGTTTTGACATGAACAAACTTCTGCAACAATATTCTGCTCAACGTGATGAGACGGTGCCCTTCGCCATGCAGTCGAGTCCAATAGCTTTGGGTTTTGCGAGCAGCTAAGGCAACATGAAGGTTGCAGAAGTTTTTGCGCATGATTTGGTTGCGCGGGCGAAGAATGATCAGCATATGCGGGACATGATCATTAAGGACAGCTTCTGATATCACTTTCATGGAGAAATTTACAGATTCCAACAGGCTATGCCACCGCCTGAACGCACCTGGCCGCAACTCCCCAACAGAGTGGTGATTCTTACGGTATATTGCCACATTGCGAACGTCTGTTTGCAATGACACCCTCCATGCCTTGCTTGTTGCCTTGATTGTGGGTTTCAGTTTTGGGGTGCATAATGTGATGGCTGAATCTTCCAACAGTCAAAGTACTGTATATTGTATATGTCATGTACATAATGTATAATTTATCATTAATATTCATTAATTATGTTAAGTTTAGATTGACATGTTCCAGAATCCCTTGCCAATTTCATTACTGATATTCGTCCTTTGGCCTTTTCATTTGATCAAGAAGAACTCTTGTTCTGGAAGGAAGCACAAATGAGCGGAGCAGTGGATCGCATTGCAGGCGCGGCAGGGGAAAGAGCGGGCTTTCGTCCCGCTGCACCACGATTTGATGCTGAAGGATCTGAAGGAGTACCAGCAGATAGCAGCAGTATCACCGAGATTCTTTGAAAGCTCGTGTTTTCCTCACTTGCTGGAGCTTAGCTTGGACCGGAATTCGTCATTTATTCATGATGAAGGAACCTGATAAAAGGATCCAGAGCCATCAGGGATCGACTGGATAGACAATAGAGAGCACATCTTGCAGACAGCTCCATAGACCCGCGCGGTGAGAACTTTCAAATGTTGGCTCCGTCATTCTGCTTACCCCTTCCCGCCAGCCCTGCTCTATATGGTGCCAAGCGCTGGAGCTGCCCTCCTGGACAGTGGGTGATGTGGGTGGAACGAGATGGGACCCTGCAGAGCTGTGACCGAAGCAATTATTGATCTGAACTCGACTGCAGAATGTACCATGATATCCATTATCTTACCATCATCTACCACAATCCACCATTCTTGGTGCAAACGCCAGGCAACGCCAGGGATCAATTTTTGAGGCTTCACCAAGCGGTCGAGCCTTGATCTCGCAGGACATGCTGACAGTGCCACCCATAGTACAAGATGCTGCAAAGCATCCCTTGCCCTCACGTTTCCTGGCTGATGGCCATCCCACTTGTTTTGGGGCTCAACTTGGACAATTATAGAGGAAAACCAAGAGTTTAATAAGCAATGGTATATTAGTTGAGGTTTGGTAGATTCTTTGTTGGCTTCCTGGGTATTATACGCTAAGTATCGCTAAGTACTGTACAATTATTGTTTTCCCTCAGCACAGCTTCAACAGGGAATTGTTATCTGGGATCATGCTACCAGACAGTTTTTGCATGAGCTTTTAATGCAGCCAAATTTGATATCTTGAAAGGAACCTTGACAATTTGGTCCTCCTTTTGGCTTGTTACTATTTCCCAGCAGAGCAGTAGATTTGAATCTCTCGGCTTTCAACACCAGTACACAGGCTTTCTTGCAAAGCCTCTTCTCTTGGACTTTGTATTTGTACATATTTGTACGTTTTCTTTGCATTTTGTGCAATCACAGCAGCTCTGTGGGCTCTGTGGTTGGACATTTCAATTTCCAGTTTCACGACACAGATGAACTCCGAGATGGGAAGTCAGAAATAACAAACATGTTGGAAGTACAGCCAGCCCACTCCATCAGGTGCAGCATTACACACTGGGCCTGTCCGCTGCACCTACCAGCCCGACGTGGTAAAGCGGCGGCAATTGACGTGGCCGCAGTGGGAGTATGATGCCGATAATCAGGTGTACAAGCAACTCGGCGCTGTGAGGTGGAAACTGTGACTGGCAGTGGATATTGCAGGTAGAATGCCCGTGCAGGTCTTGAGCCCCTGGTACATGTCAGCCTGCGCCAAAAAAATTGCGGGGCACAATGTGGGGATGGGTCAAGACTAGTCAAGACCACAACATGTTGGAGGGATGAACATCCACAGTCACTTACCAAGCGTCTTGAGTCTTGATATTTACCAGGATACAGTACCATCAGTACCAGGGTTTGAACCGATCGCCATGTCACTGCAAGTCGCCCAGGGAGTGGCACTCAGCCTTCGTCCCACCCCGGGTTGCTCAGCAGAACGGAGGGATTTGGAATGTTGTGATAGTTGTGATACCCTGATTTGGCAGTTTTAAAATGTTCTAAAGAGCTGTTCAGATCTGTTCAGTATAGTCATAGTGGTGTTTTGTTGTTGTTGTTTTTGGTCAACATTTCTTGAATTCAAACCAAGGGGAGGCTCATTTTCGATTATTGTCCAGTCACAGAGACTATGTTTGAACGCAAACGTGTCTTGAATTGCACCACTACTAGGGTACAGCGAAGGATGCCGAAGGTTTAGCCACTCTACTTATGAGTTGCGGGAACACATCAGTTGGCACATTGACCTGATGCTATCACGCCTTCTACCTTTAAGGAGATGATAACAACATGTGACAACAACAATCCACTGTCCAGCGCCACAGATGCAAACAGCCTGCCCCAAGGTTGGTGGTGTGCGGCAAGACAACGTCTATGATGTAGATGTGAAGGTGGTTTTGCTTCCAAACTTGTTGGATGTCGACATCTTTATGGCGCTGAGCCTTGACTATTCCTGGGACGGCCACCAACGCAGACCCCGAGTTACCACGTATTGTCAATTCATTCTTTGAGATGAATATGCATAATTAATCTGCTTGTTTGGTGTTTTTTTTTCATATTTCCCCACCTGCCAGGTGAGGGTTGTTAGATTTTATGTCAGTTGCCTGGTCCTCCTCGTCCTCCTCCTCCTCCTCCTCGTCCTCCTCCTCCTCTCGTTGTCCTCCTCGTCCTCCTGCTCAACTGCGACTCGCGATCCACAGTGTTCTCTGTCGGACCTCCACCACGACCATCCACGCCCAGTGTTCCCTGCCGGACCTCAACCACGACCATCCACGCCCAGTGTTCCCTGCCGGACCTCAACCACAACCATCCACGCCCAGTGTTCCCTGGGACCTCATTGAGATATGCCAGAGAGAAAAGATTAGAATGCCAGAAAGATCTGCCAGATGGAAATGTCAGATAGGAATGCCAGAAGATATGCAGATATAAAATGCATGAGATATGCCAGAAGAATGCCAGAAGGATGCCAGATAAAATGTCAGATTAGAATGGACACAAGATATGCACAGATAGAATCCAGAAAGATTTGCCAGATAATTATGCCAGTAAAGATATGCTAGATAGAATTGCCAGAAAGATAGCAGAACTATGCAAAGAAGATATGCCAGATAGAATGCCAGAAGATTTGCAAGATAGAATGCCAGAAGATATGCCAGAAGATATGCCAGATAGAATGCCAGAAGATATGCCAGAAGATATACCAGAAGATATGCCAGATAGAATGCCAGAAGATATGTCAGAATATATGCCAGAAGATATGCCAGATAGAATGCCAGAAGATATGTCAGATAGAATGCCAGAAGATTTGCCAGATAGAATGCCAGAAGATATGCCAGAGAAAATGCCAGAAGATATGCCAGATAGAATGCCAGATAGAAATGCCAGAAGATATGCCAGATAGAATGCCAGAAGATATGCCAGATAGAATGCCAGAAGATTTGCCAGATAGAATGCCAGAAGATATGTCAGATAGAATGCCAGAAGATTTGCCAGTAAGAAAATGTAAAAATGTCACGGTGGGGATCACACGAAGTAAAGTAATTTGGGAATTTTTGGGATGTGTATGGATGTGTTTGAACATCATGTGTTTCACAGAGGAGTACAGTGGTACCTAGGGGCTCAGGACTCGTACCTGGGAGACCGACAACCACGTCTTTGCCAAGCTGCCCATCCAGGGCGCCATCTACTGCCTGTGGGACAAGCCCGGACACCCAACGGCCCACTGGTGGAGAAAACATGAGAAAACATAGGAAAAACATGCAACAACTGGCAACAACATATGAAAAAACAGTAACAAAACATGTGTCGTTTGCAGCATTCTATTCTGGGGCAGCAGAGTGTTCCAGAATCTAGTACTCGTACAGTAATATTATACTCCAAGTCTTGCGCGCACCTGTGCGCACCTTATCCTCAACGCGGCCGGTCAAGTCTGTCTTACTCAAAGCTTGAGTTTGAACATAGCCATAAAGCCACCGACAGCTGCTGCCTGTGTTATGTGGACGCACCTCAGGTTGGTTTGGCCTATCTTCGCTTCATCATGGCTTTTCATGGGTGTAGAACTTGCCGTTTTGTAACTCAGCTGCACTGATTGGATGTCTGCGGAAGCATAGAATTGAGTTGCATGCAGGAGACCGGATCGCTGTAGGACATGAATATGATAATAATTTAAACATATTTAAATCCATTCCGACTACAGTTCCTTGGTTTAGCACTTGTCAAAGCCTGTTGGTTTTGGATGAAGTGATTCCTGAGGTTACGATGGGGATTGCAGACCAGCGAGGAGTGCTGGAGTTGGGAGGATGTGGCAGTGGTGGAGGTTGAAGAAACTGAAGTTCCATAAAGTTTGGATACAGGATACATTTGGATACATCCGCTGCTAATGTTGCTGACATTTGAAAGACTTGCGCTGCAGGCCGAGAAAGCCAGCAACTCTCTGCAAAATCTTCATTTGTATTGGTCGATCCTTCTTGCAGGTGCAGTTCCTTGAAAGCAATGAGCGAGCTGCTTCTTGTGGGGTGGTTCGAATTGTGCTCACCATTTGAGTGATACATCCAGTTGACTGACGCTTAGATCGCTTAGTCAATTGCTGGAACATCACTGTAGCTTTGATCACATTTGCCTTTATATAATAGTTCTCGAATGTTCTCGAGTAGTTGCTTGTTAGAAGATGCTTCTTGATGAGACAGAGACACACTATGACACACTTTAAGAATCAAAGGTTGGCCTCATTTGCACAAATTGAATTGCAATGCCCACACCCACCATGCATCAATGTGACTTTGATTGGAATAAAGTCGCAGAGAACCGGGCTTGAGTTACGGCTTGAACCACCTTTCCAACGCAGTGCTGTTGGATCATAAGGGAAAACACGCAAAGCACAGTGTAATCATGTGTAATCGTGATTGTCATAACATATCATAACACATAAAAAAGACTTCGTAAGTAAATGCCGATGGTTTCATAATGAGATTTATGAAGTTTGCTAAGCGACTGCTAGTGAGTAATTCCATGGTCCTCTTGCCGAGGTTCGAGAAGGCATGGCACCGTATTGGATTGTTTGATGCTGTTGCGCGATCTTAGGGGGATTAATTAGTGTATTAAATTAGTGTAAAGGTTTGTAAAGTAGGTCTGAATCGTTCTGACCTGGTCATTGTCTCCTTGACTTTCGTAAGTTCTTCGAAGTCAAAGTCTTGAGGCATGAGAACCTCGCTGTGATATTTCTCAGGAAGTGCGAAGTGTTTACGACATCTCAAAGGCTGTGTGATGCTGTTGGTACGTCAAACTCCAGCACAAGCCGAGTGGTAGTGACAGTCGCAAGATTTCGCCAGAGGACTCAATCTCCTTTGGTGGTTCCTAGCTCATTGGAGCAAGTGGCATTCACATGACGATGCAACAATGCAGCTTAGCTGCAAGACACGACCCCGAAGGGATTGACATGATCAAAAATGATCAAAGGCTACGGGTTTCAAAACAGAATGCCTTGGATAATGTTGGAAGATGTGCGTAATGTACCTTCCCTATCCTTCCCTGGCTGCCCTGTGCCCAGGAAATCTTTGTGGCATCCGCATCCTGGCCAAAAAAACGCGAGATGGAAGTGTTTGATGCGTCAGCAAGATATGTTTGCAACTTTGAAGATGTTTGAAGGAATATGTTGGAGAAAGTTTAACAATTCTTGAATCTACATCCATGTTTTTTGGACATCTGATCTGATGTATGGAATATTATGGAATCCCAGCCGCCAGACTCAATACGGAGCTCAGGACCGTGTTCTTCACAGATGCCTGGTTCTTGTCGTCATGCTTCACCCTGTCCCTTGCTCAGCCTTGCAGATATGGCAGTTATCCAAAATTCACCTTGTAGTACCGCTGTAGTCAGAAGCAAGAACATATATTTTCCACATACACCCCGAAATCCAACGTGGAACTGCATGCTATTCCTGAGGTCTCCTAACATGAACCTATGGTACGGTCTCAAGTGGATTTTGTTCCCCAGGAAATCAGAGTTTTGAGGATCACCATGGATCAGCTTTTCTCCCTTTCTTGCAGGTCTTGTCGCCTTCTGCTGGTGATGCCTTGCGTTTGTGACTCCTTCTTCTCAAACCCTGATCCAGTGACTGGATTGGAATGGGAAGCCTTGGATATTTCGACAGTGTGGCCATGGCACCTGTGTATCTCTATGGTCCACGGATTTCCACTGTGTTTGTTGCTTCATCAATGCTTCCAGTGTGACCAGGTTAACCAGCTTCGCAGTGCTGTCCTTCATACAACCCTCCTTGGTGCAAACCCAAAGTGCCCAGGTGATGTCAGAGTGGGAGCAGGGACTTCTGGCCATCAACACCTTCGCTCAGGGGTTTGCAGTGACCTACATGTTGCGGCTGCTACATCGCTTCAAAAGGCAGGGGACAATGGTGGCTGTCAGGAATCACGTGTGGCTCATGTGCAACGATATTTATCCATCGGCTTTCGTTCATTTTTGTGCAATGCATCACTCAGGTTACCAAACTGCATACTGCAGGACACTCTCTCTCATAATCTCTCATATATTTTCGCAAACACATGATAAATGATAAACTGCACGCAGACACCACCCTTTGCGTCCCTGGACAATTATTTTTCTTGGAATCATAGCGGATCTTGATGTGCATCATGTCAATGCGAAGTGTTGTTTCTTAGGTGGAGTGTGCACTCTCAGAAATGGATAGCTAGTTGATGTATACTCTTAGTTGTGGAAGTCAAAGCGTTTCAATGAAATGTGCGTCCTAGGTGGGGGAGAAATTTCTGGAAATCGGTGCGATGTTGCGTCCAGTTGGTGTTTATCATGCTTGTGTTTTCTCCAATTGATGGTTCATCGTGAGTTTTTCATGGATACCATGTAGATGGTTGTAGCTATTCCCTTGTGTTTTGGGAGTTTTGTACATCACTTGTGGCTCGCTCTGTTGTGCAAGATTCATACAAACACCGACGAATACTGGGTCGATGTTATAACAAGTGCCTATGGGGAAAGGCCCGCATGGGCAGCGCCTATCACTTTAACTTACTGATGTATTTTTTGGCTTCGCATAGGCACACGACGCTTACCTGTCATATCTTTTTGGGTTTACCCACTATACTCCCAAAGATGAAAGTCGTGGCAATTGTATACTTGTTTGCCAAGCTTGCGTCCCTTTGTCTCCCCTCTGTCTCCCCTCTGTCTCCCTTACTCGCCTTTGTCTCCTCTTCTCTCTCCTTGCTCTTGCCTGCAGCTGCTGCTTGGCTTGGTTTCCTCTTCTGCTCCACCGCTGAAAGCTCTTGAGTCTAACTGTTCTGAAAAGAATGCGGAAGCGTGTGGCTACCAAAGAGTTTGTCAGGAGACTTAGGGGGTCAGTCTCCCAAAATCTGATTTCGGACCTCGTTTGGACCTCGTTTGCACCTCGTTCGGACCTCGTTAAAATTGCAGCCAGCCAAAACCCAGCCCGGAGTGCAATGGTTTGCTGCTTGGTCTGCTGCTGCTGCTGTTGTTGTTGCTTGTGTTGCTGCTTCTGGGCAAGGCGCGGTTTTTGGGCAGGGAAACAAGAGATTTGTGAAAGGGCTGGAAGCTTTTGCCTGCCTCAGAATTAGTCCGTTTTGACCGTCGGTGTGCCAATAGGATTTCCACCTGGCGGAAGATTAGTGATGTCTGGCGTAAGCGGTGTGCCATGCAGCTGGCGCAAGTATGCGCAAGTTCTAGTAAATGGCGTAGGTATCAATGTGCATGTTTGGATAAGCGTCCACATTGTGTTTAACATCCGTGGATATATATATATATATATGTTTAAGATTGTGGGACATAACTGTGCACACGCGTCCTGATGGGGATTTGGAAAATTTGGAAATAGAAAAGGGCGCTGCCAGGGATCTAAAAATAACACTTCTACATAGTGCGTCCCATGGTGTTTTAGACCTGGTTGCATTGACTTGTTTGATTTCCCGAATGCGCGGCGTCCCATGCAGCTTTTACCTCCGTTCCACATATGCACTGACTTTCACGTCCCAGAGTATACCGTTATATGGTAATTACATCTAATTACTGCGGGTTGACACCTCCATACATGATAACTAAATCGCTTCATTTTTTCCTGCTGACGTTTGGTCCAGGATCTTGGCTATTTTTAAAACCTTCTTCAGCCGCACCATTCTGGAGATGCTCCTGATCGCAGTCCCCTGGTCCGAGTTTCTCCCTGCCAATACGACCAGACATAGACCGTTCCCCCATGACAAAGCAAGACACATTCTGGATGGATGGGATGTGGTCTCTAGCATCATCTCTCCTTAGGTCATGATATTTGACACTTGGCTGCAGATCTTGGACTTCTGTCTCGCCAAGAGGAAGTTGTGAGATGTTGTGAGTTGTGAAATGTCCCAGATACCAATTCGCACAGGCACCAGTTGCCAGCAAGCATTAGTTTGTTAAAAAAATACTGGTAGGTCTCCACAGTAGATCTCCAGTAGGCCTCAAGGTTTGAGGTTTCGTGTTCCATGGCCGTTTGGGCAACGACTCCTTCGTCGTTCAAACAAGGCCTCTTTCTCCTTCGCCTTCCTGACCTTGATCCGAAGGGAACATGCTGTCCAGCACTCAGAAAGTGGTTCCGGATGGTTCCGGAGAGTCCTGCGTGTCTCACTTCAGACATGGGAAAAATATGGGAAAAAATGGAAAAAAGACATAGAAAGACCATGGTATCACCATGGGAAAAGGGTTATAGCATGTATGTAACTACGTAATAAAAGCATTGTTATTTGCCTTCGTTGAATGAACATGAATGATGGAGGTTTGATGGTGGTTGATTCTGATGTGAGTAATTTCAGCCACGCATTTTCCCAAAAACTAAAGCATGGCACATGGGATCATATGGGATCTAACCATAGCCAACCTGTTTGTGAGGCTTGGACTGTGACCTATCTCTATCGAGGCCTCATGTTTGGGGACGGCGAAACTTGGCATAAGCATCGGTGCATTTCGGTGCAGCTGAGACCTGCCAGTTATGGCTGGCCAGTCCGACCTGAGGATGGCCTTGACCGTATGGGTCTCATGCTGGGAGGAAGTGATGAGGACAACAAAGCGGCGCTAGTCCTATTTATGGCTGCTTGGTATTGTTTGGTGGCTGTTGGCTTTGGATGTCAGCTTTCGAAGTTGCAAACAAGCTCAATAGCTGACATTCATTTCGAATTTGGGCGCTTGGTACACATTAATTAAAATTATTTACATAGATTTTTGCCCTTCACTTGAAGTGGGTTCATGTCTCCAACTTGCACGAATGTGTCACATTTGTTTGATCTTGAATGAACAGACGATTACTGTATGCTGGAATCGGATATGTAGGATTTTAGATGTTTTTTCCCAGAGAAATACGACACATGCGGACTTTGTTGAACACGTTGAACGGGTCTCAATTCCAGGTGTGCGGCACAATACTGTTCAACGTCACCATCCTAAATTTGGTGCCATTCTTAGTCTGGCTGCGGCAAGAGATCCATCAGAGGAGGAGTTTTTCCATAGTTTGTTCAGTCGAGGTCATTGCCATCTATG